TCTTCCATTGCTTCTGTGATAATACCTCTGATCTTCTTATTCATCATTTCAGATTTTATCTCCTCTCAGTACATCATAAATTTCTGGAGGAAACATAGCAGTCAACACAGACTGAGCATACTGGCTCAGTCTGAGTAATGCAATGGCACTTCCACTCAGCAGTGCAACAAAACACAAGAGAGTCACCACTGTGGCCATCTCTACCAGGGTGGGGGGCAAGCAAGCATCCCCCTCCATGACCCAAGAAAGCTGTATGTCTGGGGTGTTTTATGAAACCGTCATAAATCCAACCCAAGGAAGAATGCTTCCCATAAATGAGAAACAGTGTACCAGAGCTCACTTCTGCTGCATTATATTTATTCTTGCTTGTCAAGATACTTATTATGATATACCATTTTCAGCTCACATTGTCACACCTCCAAACTCAAAGCCCAGTTAAGCTGCAGTCACAAACATGAGTACACAGATTTCATGTGCCTGTTAACTACTAAGAACTAGCCATCACCATTTATCTCAAGCATTTTAACATTTGTAATAGCTGCTTATTAAAATAATACATCTCACAAAATACACTTTTCAAAAAAGACTAAAGGACAATTTCTCCACTGTTGGCATTTCATGACAAATTCTTTTTGACTCTATTCAGTCTTTGAATTTAAGAGAGATTTCTTTTGGTATCTTGCCATTCAATTTCATTTTCCCAGATGATACTAGAAGCTTTTAAGCTTGAACTCTTGCTCATGTACTTAAACTTTCTGCAGTGTCATAATATCCAAACTTTTCTTATATGAAATATAATCATTACCTTCTATGATCCATAAGAATTTTCAAAAATCAATAATTAATAATATTAAGATGATGAGAAAAGCCAAATTTCCCAGTATTCATTAACCTTGAACAGAACTAAATTCCTTTAATTGTTTTAAATTGGAAGGAAGATGGAATATCAACCCTATAAATATCTGGGAAGATTTTTCAACATGATCATTTATACTCATACAGAACTACTGATGAATTTTTCAGCAGGGACACACACAGCAGTTTCAGAAGGCCCGAAGAAAAATTAATTCTGACAACTTCTGGGCTGTATTATAGCATAAATAGTTACAGCTCTTCACTTCCTTTATCTTCCCAAAACAGGGCTGGAGCAGAACACCCTCTTTGCTCTGCTGTGGAGGTCCTACTGTTTACTTAACAGAAGTATCTCCTGTACATGTCTAAGCTCCAGAGAAAACAGCCACAAAGCATACATTTACTGTTAAGTTTACTGAATACTACATAGCTTTTTGTTTTGTTCTGTTTATTTGTTTTACCCTTTTCTTCCTCCCTGAGACCCACCTCTATCATACCAGTGATGGTCTGATAGCAGAGATCAAAGTAAAAGCTAACAAGCCTCTTTACAGCCATCCCACCTTTCCAATAAGCCAATGCCAACTGCCATCTCTGTGCCACAGTGTTACATGGCTAGACAATGTAGTGAGTGGGGCAAAGGATCTGTGCTGAGATTTAGTCGGTCTTTTCCTCTCCACATTTCCCATTGCAGAGATGATGAGTTTTATCACCTGTCAAAGCAATATTCCAGAAGGGTATGGTATAAAGTAAAGGTAATGAAAATCAGGAGGAGTCTCTCTGTGGGTATCTGCAGAAAGAATGGCACATAGCTGTTGGAATGGGGAGCACAACTTATTTTCCTAGAACTTCATTTGCATTCAGTGTTTCCACGATGAAGAGAAGAGGTGGAGCATACGTTTGTGAATGGGTGGTAACAGCCTCCGTTTCTATTGCTGTTGATAACCAAATCTCATATGTTCCCCCAAAGTCTGCCCTAAAGAAGTGTTAATTTTGTCCCAGATTTACATTTGAATTTCCCCCAGTACAAAAAAAAAAGTTTTTTTTTTTTTTTTTTTTTTTAAGAGTTGATACACTCCATGGTTGAGTTGATGAGAAAAAGTGGGATACTTTGCTCTTTTAACACACTGAAAAAAAGAGATCAGTTTGGGGATTAAAGTCCATTGTGCAGCCCAGAAAACCTTGTATACAATACATTATAGTTTGTTGGGTTTATGATGCTTTTGCATATAAAGCAGTAACAACAGGAAAGATTTGAAGCTGTCACTTACTCTAAATTTCCTTTTAGCTTGGAGCAATAAAGAAGAGTCACTGAGAAGAAGTAGCACTTTCTTCTTAGAAAAAGGGTGTTACCTTGCACCACATGTCCTTGGCCATTTGGGGTATGCAATTTAACAGCAGACAATGTTGCTACCCACTGTGTTGCTTATGATTGTAAAAATACTTGCTCTGATTTAGCCAAAGAGAATCCCCATATATTAGAAAGCTGGAGAAAAAAAAAAATTTGGCCTCTTGTGGCATAAGACTTATAAATAAAGAAGGGAAGCTTTTGAAGGAGGTGAAAAGAATTGAAAAAAAAAATAAATAGTTCAAGAGAAGGAATTTACCCTCCTAGAAAAAGAAAACAAAACCAGAAAAAAAACACACACACACACACACAAAAAAAAAAAAAAAAACACACAAAACAAACAAAAAATAAACAACACAGATAGTCAAAACCAAACCACCTCAAGACAGAAATGCAGGCTCTGTAAATGAACTCAGTTATGTTAGTATTAACATTAATTTTCTCACAAATGCACAATATTGCCTAGAGCACAGCTGAAGCAGGTCTAGTAAGGGGAATAATGTCTGTATGTTACATTAATTTTTCAATGTATTTAAATTAAAAAAAAAAAAAAGGAAATTAAAAAATATATTTTTAACCATCATTCTTTTTTTTACTCAGCCATCCATACTGCTCACTACCCAGCACTTCACAAGTATTAAAGTATAAAAGGACTTGTAAAATATGCTCCTCACTCAGACACTCCTGAGAGCCAATGGAATTGGGAATGTTCCACTAGTCATTCATTTTCAAAACAACAAACCTCCTGTCTTCTCTCCTCCTTCAACATGCTGGCTGGATTATGTGCAATGGAAGGTCACGAGCACTCCCTCTTGGCCACCCTTTGCTCAGGATCACCAGTTTCCTCTTTCTAGCTTACAGTAGAAAGGACGTTAGAAGTCTGTGAGCTGTAATTACTCCATCTAGAATACAGCAACAGCTATATTATGATCATTTTCTGAGCAAGGCAATGCTGAAAAACAACAGCAAGGAGTCTTGAAGTAGTTCCTGCATGTTTCAATCAACTCACAGAGAGGTTTGTTTCCCTTTACAACATCCTACTCTACTGGAACAGAGTTTCAGCACTGAATGAACACCTGAGCCTCAAACATGGACAATTTGAACAATTTAAATGAAAATTAGGGATGTGAGTAGGCAACCAGCACAGGATAAAATTGTTTTGCTCATCAGAACCCTGCCTGACACACATCTAGTTGTGTCAGCCTGCACTAGGGGCAAAGCTCTTTCTTGCTAATCCTGCAGCATGGGATCAGCTAATAGGAAAGTTAGATATAGTCTGTCCTTTGAACCAACAGCATTGCTGTGCAAAATTCCATCGGTTACACTTGAAGAAATGCAGACAAGTCTATGGGGGTTTTTCCAGTTGCCATGAAGAGAAAAATACTGTTAGACTAGGATTGTATTTATGTTGATAAAAGCAACCCTTCAAAGCATGACTGAATTTAGAAAACTGGTGAATAGAAAATTTCAATGTACCAAGCTTTTATCCAGTTTAGACTGTGGCCACAAGTTTTTACAAACATAAGTACAGTTAAGGACAGAACACACCATCAGGAAACCTGGGTTTCCTCACATAGTTCATAAGCCATAAGGTTTAAAAATATATATATACGTACTTGTCTAAATCACTTCTTATCTCAAGTTGTATTGGTGATTATCTAACTCAGAAGAAACAAAAATGAAAAAGCTCAATTGATTAGTACCAGAAAGCAACAGTTTCTCCACTTCAGGCTTGAAACCTATCTTGAATCAGTACTGAAGAATAACATAAAGCTTCAGATACTCAAAAGTAGAGCAGAAGCTGCTTCTCTGTTCGTCCCTCCAGGCAGAGAAGTCAAAGCCATGATCTGACTCATGGTCAAAGAGAAAGCTTCAGGTAGCTGATTTTTATTATTATTATTTTTTTCTCTCTGAATGCTGCTGCCTCATGGACCATAGATGGACAATTATAGCTGTGTAACACTGACCATACACATATTAGCACCATACCCAACAACAGTCTACATCTAATCCAGATACACAAACTTCTGGGCTTTACTCTCTGTACTCTATCGGTAAACCCCAAAGATAAGAGCTTAAAGACTATATCTGCCAGACTAGGCAAACCAACTGGGAGTAGCTGGAGAATATTTCCAGAAGGGATCCAATACCCCCCCTCCCAAAGCTTTTCTAAAACAGTCTCTCTAGAAACTCTGGGACAGCTATATTTTCCCTCCCAATTCACATTTTAGGCTTGTTCTCCAGCTGCATGGAGAATTTGAGCAAATCAGTCAGAGGGTTTTCCACCAGTATTAAGCTCATGTTGAACAAAGTAACAAAGTTCTCTCTATTTGTCTAATACTTTTTAAAAGTTGTGGTTTCAGGCAGTCTGTAGGTGCAAAGCAAATGCAGATTTAGAACAACTTACAATAGCTTAACACACCACACCTTCCAGGGCAGAAAGCCTTCCCTTCAGATAACAACATTACCATTCCAGTGTCACAAGCCCCTTTCTGCTTGATCAAAATCAGTGACATTTACAGGACCAAAAAGAAATACCTCAGCAGCCCAAGGAGAGATGCTTCCTTTATGTTAGTGAAAGCCAGTACTGTGGGAACTGCTACCTACAAAATAAATAGAGTATCAAAATATATTCTAATGGTAAGTAGTATTCTTGCACATAAAGACATCCTCCCCTGTAGGCCGGAGCAACAGAAGAATAATTTGAACAATTACATCAAAGATTCAAGATACCAGAATACCATTTTAATGCAGATAACCAAATGGGAAAACAGAATAGGATGCACAACAGCTGTGAACTCACCCTTCACCCACTGTGGCTCTCTTCAATTACTCTGCACATTTCTGGCAAAGCAAAAAGCTGCACTGATAAGAACTGATTCCTGTGAGCTGCCCTACTGGGGGTAAAAAAAAAAAAAAAAAAAAAGAAAAAAAAAAAAAGAAAAAAAGGACACTTGCATATATCTGCCACTTTCCACAAATCCCTGCTATAATAATCCAATAGTCACCTGTTAGAAGTGTCAGTTGATCAGGGCAAAGTTACAGCTTGATCAAACACTCTTAAGAAAGTGTTTTCCACTTGACAGGCAGGAGACTGTTAGGGTATTACAGTGCTCTATCATACACCAACCCTGCTTGTTCATGCTTCTCTGTGGCTCTTAGTTTAGCTATTAGAAAATGCAACCCTACACACACACATACAAGATCATACAGATGTAGAGTACCTGGAATCTTCCTACTACACAGAATAACAAGTAGAATGCAGAGTCTGTATCTGTATGCCCTGCATATCTGCATATCTATTTAAGGCTCGTTCATTTTTCCCTTGTTCAATTTGGAAAAGATCTGCAGCCCCTTGCTCAGACACAGGGGTTTCAGTCTTGGCAGGTATCTCAGGGCTCTCTCTCTCCCTGCTCTAGCTCATTGCTTCTGTGCTGGCAGCATGCAGTCGCTCTGTGCGGCTGTTTTTTCCCCACCGTTTGTCAGTACATGCGCTCTGGGCTTCCCGCTGCCATCTGGCAATCAGTATGAGATCACAGCTCCGGATCCCAAGAGAAAGGCACCACAAGACAAGGTCACAGATAAAACAATATCAGAATACACAAACCTTTGTGTAGCTGCACCACACACTGTTTGGCATTCCTGTGACCCATTTTTTACCTTTCTGTAGCAATTCAATCAGTGATTTTGCTACAGTAGATAAGCATGAAATGAATTTTTCACAGTTGTTTACTGATACTGCAAAACCATACTGCTCAGAAATTCTTGTAGGTCCTAATGCTAGTCAGTTCATTTGTGTTTTATCTTTGGCAGGTGATTTCATTTAGCATCAAAACTGAGTTGCAATAGAGTCTTTTCCTTTATTCAGAAATCATATTGCTGATGTCTCCTTAATGCATATAGTCTAACATGAGCATTTCTTCCAATACTTAGAGGATATTACATCTCTCTTAGCATTTGCACTAAAAGATTTGTCATGCTCACTGCACATTTTGCACAGAATTACAAAATCATTCCATTTGGACAGTTTCTCTGGGCACTGTTTTGTGTGGATAGATAGGTAAAAACTTTCAGTAACAATAAAACTGGCAAACTAATCTGTTCTATCCTCAATTTGCGCCAATCTGGCATAATTACTGGGAGGAAGGGGCAGCTCAGTGTCAGGCTACCTGGACCTGACCATGAGGCAATTAAACCACCAGAAGGGTGGGCTGAGCACTAAGTTAGAGACAAAGGTGTACATTTATTTATTTATTTATTTATTAGAAACATAACCTCTTATCTAGCTTCTCATATACTTCATCTTACCTTTTCTTTAATCAAAGCTAGAAGGGGAAAAACACAAAACTACAACTTGCAAATGAAAATTTTTCTCACTGGTTTCAAGCAGCTATTTTGTTGTTTTAAATGTGATGACTTTCTCATTAGCAAAAGTCCAATATACTCATGTGATTGCTATAAAATGCAATACTGAAAGCAGTAAAGTTTATTTGCCATGTGCAACACATGCAGAATTACTCACAATATCCAGATTTCTTGTCTAAGGCAAGTTTTTTCTTTTAGTAAATTTTCAGTGAAGCTCTGTGCAGCTTATTCCATAAATAAAATTGATCTGTCCACTTTTTAGCTAGTGTAATGAATGGCAAATTCAGATGAAAAAGCCAAGGCTTTTTAAATATGTCAAGCAATTTCTCACCTACATGTTGTATAGTCATGAAAGCTATTACTGTACCATATGGATGAAATGTTTTTTTGGTTGAATAGATTTTTCTTATATTCAGTAGTCATATTCAATTCTTAGTTCACTGAACCTCCCGGGATATCAGGTCCTTCATCAGGGTAAACATATGTAGTTCATCCACTCTTTAGAATATATATGTTTCCTTATAGTCTTTGTTAGTGCTTAATTATAAAAGATGATATAAATACATTTAGTATCTCTGCAATTTCATGAAGGCACACATTCACTTTCAGAGCAGAGAATAACCTTTTTCTTTTATCTTTATTTTTGAAAGGGACTGACGCAAAACAAACTCAGGAAATATTGTATAACCAAATAGACACATCTGACAAAAACATAAACAAAGTGAAACTGTAAGATGCAAATTCTACGTAAGCCCCTTCAACTATAAAGACATTCAAAGTCCTAATATGGTCTACAAGTCTTTGCTAGAAATTGAATCTATGTCAAAACTTGAATGAAACGAGCAAGCATCTGAGCATGCTTCTCTGAATTATCCCCAGTACTGAGACGGATCTTCCTGTGTTCATTTAATTCAGATAGTGCAACATCGTTAGTGTAAATCATCATCCACTTAGGCACATAGGGTATCATTTGCGTGGTAGGAGTTATGGTTAAAAACAAAAGTCTGAGAAATGGAGAGAGAAAGTGGTTTTGCCTGATAATATTATCATGTTTTCACCACTGCCACAGAGTTTGTCCAGTATATCATACAAGATGATGAAGCCACAAGGACTCCCTGCAGACAAGAGCTGGCAACGGTAATTTATGCAGAACCTCAAGAGTAATGAGTTTCATGTTACTTTTTTATTATTATTACTATTTCCCTGGGAAAATAACCAAGATTTACCATATATGTATTTTAATATGTTTAACATATTTTACCTCAAAACAGAATATTTATAAATATATTTTCCTCCCTGCAGTATTCAGTTTAATGTAACTTTGATCTTAAACCTGGGGCTGGAGTCAAAGAAGAAGCAGGGTATTTCATATCACATGATCAAGTGAGCAAGCAACAGAATTTAGTGCTTAGCCACTAGAGACAGACAACAGGAACAGCTTAACATGGCTTTCATCGATGTGCTGATGCAGGTAGGAGGACTCTCTTTGTGGGAAGGAGAGTTGGGAAAACTAAGTCAAAGGAGGAAAACAAGATAAGTGAAATAAATTAAAATATATATATATACTTAAAGACTGACAGTTTTCAGCCCTGTAGCAACATTAAATAACAAACACAAAAAAATACACCCTTTCATTCAGTCAGCAGTGTCATTCTCCCTGAGGCTAAAAGGCAACAGTTCTCACACATGTAAAGGCATTTAGATGTCTAAATTCATTTTCACACTCAGAGGGATCTGGGATCTCAGATAAAGTATTTTGTGATGCCACAATAAGGTTCTCAAACTTCTCTTTCATTGGGCATCAGAACTTGTCACAACAAACGGTATTGATTTTGTTAGTACTCAGATACTTTATCTAGGTAGTAAACAGTAGTAAAGCAGCTGCTTTCACAGGAACACAATTTGCAGTTTAGATTTTCCAAACTAGATTTATGGTATTAAAGAGCAGACCATGCTTAGCATTCTGATTTGTGTTTGTTTGTTTGTTTTAAAATTTCATCCCATCACGAGCAGTTTTTCCCTTCCCATTACTTACGAGATACTTTATGCTCATCTCAAGGAACAGCTCTCTAGAATCAAGATTATGCAAGAATCACACTTTTCATAGAATTATTTTCATTGGAAAAGACCTTCAAAGATCATGAAGTCCAGCTATCAGCCTGACCTATTAAGTCCCATCACTATACTATGTCCCTTAGTGCCACATCCACACATTTCTTAATTACATCCAGGGGTGAAGACTCCACCACTTCCCTGGGCAGCCCATTCCAATACTTGACCATCCTCACCATGAAGAAATTATTCTTAATGTCCAATGTGAACCTCCCCTGGCGCAACTTCAGAAAATTTCCTCACATCCTTTCAATTATCACCTGAGAAAAGAGAAGAGCACCCTCTTTCCTGTAAACTCCTTTCAAGTTGTTCACGTCCTGGAGGAACATGAGAAGATTCTTGACACCACAGTCACAGAGGAAGCTTTGCAAGCATTTGTTCAGCACATCCTCATAGGATGACTTGAATTTTTAATTTTATTTTTTAAATAATCATATGGCTTTATAAACCTGATGCACTGTTTTGTTGTTGTTGTCCTGTTTTTTCAAGCTGTGGCAGTTCTCCAAGACTATATTTTACTACGTCACATAGCAGTAGAAGAACAAAGTGCCTAACTGACAGTCCCACACGTAGCCTTCACCTGGACTTCTAAGGATACATAAAAACGTGGGCACTTCTCTCCTTACATCTTTAGAATTAAAATAGTGCAAATTAAAATGAAATATATATATATATGATTTAGTATAAACATAGTATAAAATGCATGCCCCAGTACAGCACAACTGGATTGTCTTCTGACAATTTTGTATCGTTATTATTTTTTTCTATGAAATAAATACACAATGTTACTCAATTGGCAGGAAATACATCTTTATATTTGTCAGTTGTACTCCCCAAAAGAGCACAGAACTCACAGGTTTCCATTTCACATCAGGAGATAATCAAGCAAATAAGATATTCAAAGAAAAAGGGTAGGGAAGTGTGGAAAGGAAAGTTTTATTTTCATTGACCTTAAAAAAAAAAAAAAAAAGAGAGAGAGAGAAAATAATATAAAATGCACATTGACAGATGCACTATGTCAGATTCTGCTGAAGAAAGATGGAAGCTGGAGCTAGTCATGCTGTCAACACCATTAAAAAAAATATATATATAAGCAAGCACTAACATCTGCAAAAGTGTTTGTTCTTCGTAGTGAGAAATTATCTATCAATCTCCTTGTGATGTTTTCTTCTACAGTATTGACTTGTTATCCTTCCATATTTTACTCAATGCTTTGCTGTGTGTGTTTATATGTATAAATCAATGTGTATAGGTCCCTTAATAAATTTCTCTAAAATAGATACGAGGTTTTTGTATTTTCTATTTTCTGTGAAACAAAAACTCACCTGTTAACTTCATGCTTGCAAATGTATATGACAGACCAAGAGCCACTCACTGTGGAATCTACTGCCAATTAAAATTGCAGATCTGGCAGCTACAAAAATATGGATGTAAGCATTAATTTGATCTGTTTACTGATAGGAAACCCATTTTTATGTAACCATGAGCGTAGAAATATTGATTCGTTGTTCATGAATTACGTTTTCACCGTGAAATCTGGAGTCATAGTTTTCATACTGGAACAAATTATGATGTTAAATAGCAAAAGCAGCTCTTCTGTATTTAGAAAACTCAAACAGACTATTACAAGGTGGGTATCCTTGTATGTATACATATATTTACAGTATTTAGATACCACACTAAGTCCTAAGTCTCAAAGTACCAAAATGATCCTTATTAGAAAATAGATTAAAGCCATTTCCAAAACCTAAAGACACTTGAATATAAGTATTTCATGCAAATAAGCTTTTCTGCTTCAACACTGTGATCAGGGAGATAAGCACTAATGTTAGGCCTTAATCCAAGAAGCAAACAAGAAAAATGAAACAGAAATGAATAAGAAAAAACAGTAATAGGAAAGAATCAAAATATTTTGTTTTGTTAACCATTATGAAGTTTGTATCTTCTATCATGTCTTTTCAGAATTTAAAGTAAATGAAAAATGAATAGTTCATTATTTAATGTGAAAAATGTAATGACTTTCTGTTAACAGGCTTAAAATAGAATTAGGACAGGCTCTACATCACTAGTTGATGCAGGTAACGTAAAAAGTGACAAAGTCTGAGGGAAGTTGGTCAGTAGCTACACCCATTTCTTTGCTTCCGCATAACACATAACATGACCACCTCTGGACAGCAGTAGCTGCTTGGGAACACCAGAAGACTAAACGCTGTTTGGACACAGTAGCTACATCCATACTCTTACCCTAGAAGTAATATTTTATGTACTGGGGTAAAACATGATGCCAAGATAAAAACCCAGTTTTTACAACTGCCTAAAAAAGACATTGTGTGGTCATCAGAAACACTACTGAGGATCTACCACCCACTGCTATCCCTGGAAGAGCAAAGCTAAAACCTGAGTAGTGTGCTCCACTTATTGCTCTCACCCTGAACAAATGATATATACCAACCACAATTTCTAAAGCGCCATGTAGGGAACTCCATTTAGTGCCCCTGAAAATGACTGAAAATATTCCTTCGTCTGGATGTTCCCAGGAATCCGTTTCTTCCTCAGCTCCTGCCTGGCCTGTCTCATGATGTAATACCATGACAAATAGTCCCAAATCCAAAGTTATTTCAGGACAGACCCATTCACCGATGATTTTACGACATCAAATTCCTGTCCTCTCTTTAGAGCAAAACAGCATCTCAGCTCAGCGTAGCACCTACAGAGGCTGATCATTCAGTAATGGTCTAGAATTAGCTAACTGTCTCTCTGGTTTCTCAAGAGACAGAAGCAATGAAATATTAACATGTTTTGTTGCAGCAGTGCCCTCAGAAGTCAGCGTCTATCCATAATCATCATGTTCTGCCCAAGGAAGTGCAGAAACAAAGAGAAAACATTTAAGAATTCTGATATTCACAGAAATTCAGGAAGATTAAAATGTTTCTTTCTGATGGCCAGCTGAAAAGAAACCTTTAATTAGTTTATTTCTTCTAAATTAAAGTCATCTTCTTGCAAATACCACTTTCTTTTAAATGACCCCAAAATAAAATTTCAAAGAGCTGTGCCTCAGCTGGTCCTTGTCTAAAATAAAAAGGACAGGAAAACAAACAAACAAACAGAAACAAATGAACAAACAAAAAACCCTAAACACATCATTTATTGCATCATTTTACAAAACATCTAACTTTTATAAACATAACTCTGGATGACAACCATTTAAATCATTGTCAATCCCTCTTCTGTTACAATTAATCTTCACAGATTGTTGCCTTATTGCTTCTCTTTCCATGGTGGAGAAAATCATGATACTAGATATAAGTTGACACCTCTGCCTGTAGCCATAAACAACACTTTGATTTCCATCCAGTTCTCACTAAAAAAAAGGGACAGACTATTCAATGTTAGAATATAAGTGGAAAAGACTAGCAGATAATAAACCCCCACAACATTTGCTATATAAATTTGAGCTATATAAATTTTGCACTCTACCAGCTTCCTCAAGAAAGACCTATAATCTGGTAGTAAGCCACAGTGCACTGTGCTGCACTGCAACAAAATAAACAGCTATTTTCAGTCCAAGGTTTTACCTGTTTGGAGTATTTGCCCCCATTAAGTGTCTTGTGTGACCTCCCTCTTTGTTTATCTGAAGTCATTTTGATCTTGCTGACCACCAAGTAGCGTACATGGTTAGCAGACAACAACTCAATTTCCATGCCCTGAAAATCCTGTTCTTTAACAAGTTATATACAAAAGCAGCATAGGGGAGAGGAAGAAAGGCCCTGAAATCATACAATAGTTGGAGGAAAGTAAACTGTAATGTTTTCTTGGTTTCAGAGCCAGAGATCAATTGAACATCACTCACTTTTCTGCAGTGAAACTCTACTTTCAGGGCAAGAATTTCAGTTCTGTAAGCCTGGAAAATCTTTAGCCAAATTTACAGTTAGGAAGGAAAAATAAGAGAAAAGAGAAAACAGACTAAGTGTTCATCCCCAAGATTGAAACTATCATGTTTCATCTTTCTATCTGAATGCCATTTTAAAGCCTGCATAACAAAGTCTGTCCTGCTGAGAATCTTTTGCTCCTCAAGGAATTGCAGAGGAATAGATTCAAAATGCATAAATACATCAGGGCTTATTTTCACACTCTCTAAACTACAATAGCTAGTAGAGAGAGACAGATAATACTGTGATGGAGAGAGATGTCTATGAAGTCAAGAAAATGCCCAGGAAGGTGCATGAAGGGCTCAATAACATAGCAATGTATTATAGCCAGTATATGGTTCCTCAGAGATCATATGTAGCTGACAAAAGTTATAGCAGCTTTATCTAATCAAAGCCAAGGCTGAGGCAGAATCTGAGGATCAGCTGCTGGCTTTCTGGATGGCTATTTTATCGTTCCTAGCAAAAATCAGATGCATTAGAAAACATACCCCACCAGATGTAAAATCAAGAGAGAAATTATTTAAGAATAACTACACTGAATAAAGCATTAGGACATTTTTGAGGTTTGCTTATGTTCATTAATATTCTAGGAAAACAAAAAAAGAAACAAACAAACAAAAAAACTACCCGTTCTCTACAGATTAAAATATCAATGAAATAATCAGTAAAATCCAGTAATACAATTGATCTATGCAGTCATTTACTATACAACTACATTAGTAAGAGCTGAAATATCAATACAGGTGATGCTAATGTAATTCTAAGTTTTGGTGTCTACTTTCTCCCAGATAATGTCTAACTCCTTACTCACTGCTGAAATTCAAAACTCTGAGAGGAGCCTTCTGCCGATGTCAAAAGGTGTTAAAATCAGTTGCCAATAATTTGAATATTTCTTTCCTATTAAAAAAAAAAAAAAAAAAAAAAAAAAAAAAAAAAAGCAAGAAAAAACACATCTCTGCTTAAAAATGGTTATTTTTAGTGTAGACATTTGATTACTATTTTAAATGAAAACTAGCATGACAGAAATTTTCTTTTCCAGCAAGCAACAGAAATGAAACATACACAAAAGTGAAATCTAACAGCCGATTTTTATGCCCCTGATCAATCCACCTTGAAAGATGTTCTACATTACTTACCATTGGCAACGAGTGCATGATAGCCTAGAATATTGGCACGTTTTTCACAGAGACTTCTCTGCACCTGTGGACCCATGCCCAGTTTTAAATTGTCTAGCATCCCGATTACAAGGGTACCAAGTACTGCAATCAAGGAGACCTTACTATGCAATTTAATCATTTACAGCTGGGCTTGCTTCCCTGACTGTAGTTAGTTTCCGTAAGTCCTGTGACAGTGCCAGAAACTTATGTCATGGGATCAGTTCTGGATATGGAATAATTTTCTCAGGGATATTTCTTAAACCACTATTTCATGTTTTATTGCTACTGCCACATACTGAATCAGCCATAGTTAACCCTGCAAACACTCTCTTCAGGCATGGACAGATGTTATTTGTTCTCATTCATTCATTAAGCAGTAATGAATTATTTTTTCTACGTTTCCTTCTGATCTCGTCAAGGTGCTAAATGAGTGACTTCCTACTTCATATTCTTTGTAAAATGAGTGGATCTGAAGGTATCGTTGTTAGATCTCTTCCTCTTCCTTGCAGACATGGAGTCTCCCATATTCCAGTCCCATCCCCTGCACTGTAGCATGTTGCTTCTGCAAGACCTGTTCCACAACCCAAAGGCAAAGCCCACCACCACAATGACACCAGTCTACCAAGTTTCCCAAGGGGGTTGGGACAACGATATGCTGGGGATGGAGAGAAGGAGAGAAAGAAGCTGTAGTACAATGCCATGGGAAAAAGACCTTTTCTACTTTTCAGTACAGCATAGGGCAATTTAGCAGCCTTCCCTCACCTTAGACTAAGGGTTAAAAATGCCATTAGGATTATAACAGGTTTTGTGTAAGAAGTTAATAAAATACATTTCACACTGATTCTCACCTAGCAGTATAGTGCATGGTCTATTGGTCTAGCTGCTCTAGGGATGCCTAAACAACCTTACAAAGATTGTTAAGTCTTACTGTATCTCATCCTCTGCAAAGCTATAGGATTTTCAGTCTCTGTGTGGGAAATCATAGTCAAGACAACATATCTGCAAGGATCAGGTCAATCAAGTAACAGTTATTCTGCAGGTATTTGCCAGTCCACTCTGTGTCAAAGCATCCCTTGTGCTTGAACATAAATGACTGGCAACAACCTAGAGCTGCTACAATACAGGCTAAGTATGGACATGTACCCAAGTCCAGCCTGAGTGAGGAGGTAAAAACAGTTTCTAATCCATCTGTGTACATGCATATGTATCTGTAGCTGCTATAGGATAGCCTGAGGTGGAACATTTATGCCAAGCAATACACTATCAATAAACATTACATGTACTGAGGCAAATCTATATAGAGATTATAGATTTGGAAGGAAGATGTTACCTTACTGCATCTGGTGCAGCTGCTGCTTTATGAAGCAATGATGAATTCAAAGAGCAAAAACTGTAGTATTTCCAGATGTAGTGCTGCTATGCATGGAGCTCAGACACTTGCAGGAGCATTGCTTAGATGCTTACTGCCCAGCAGCAGCTGCCTTGGCTCCTCACATCCTCTTGTCTGCTGTGCATTTTATTCCCCTGAGCAAATGACAGAGGCAGGTGCGCCATTACCAGTTCTGATGCTAGCACCCAAGGCAGAAGCATCTGACAGGGCGTATTTGCTGCTCTCTCTTTCCTCAGGCAGGGTGATGTGGTCATGGCCTCCTGCACCAATGTCATGACACTGCTATGACTGCTGGGGGGAAACAGAGTGTTGAAAGAGGGGACTTGCTTTTCAGTTGTTTCTCCTTTTGCATCATGTAACAAAGATGAAGGGTGACAGTGCGATATCACTGCTTTCTCCATATAATCTGGACACTGATTTTTAAAGTAACATTTTTTAGGGAGAGAGAAACTGTGGAAGTTCCCCACAGCCCTGAGACAACACTCAGAAAAGGAAAAGATAAGTCTTTTGTTTCACCAGACAATTGTTTCAGCCTCTTACACTGCAGTGAAACTTGTCTACACTTGGGGGTAAGCTGCTAGGTTTAGCAACACCCTGTCTCTGCTGTTATAGCTGCCCTTGCATCTTTCTACATGCAGTGATGATGTTCAATCCTCTACAGTCCTAACAAAATGGGAACAGTTTCTCCTGTATGTGGCATCCCCTGCAGGTTACAGAAGTCAGAGTGAAGCTAATAACGTGGCTCTTGGGTGACCAGCACCAGCACTGACTGCAGGGTGAAGAGAAAACCCTTAGAGGAAAAGATGAAAGAGGGACACTGGAAAAATTAAGGTCACAGACCCATTTAAAGAAGCGTTAGATGGCTACTATAGTCACAAGTCACACTCATTGATTGTGACAGAAAAGACATCAAGACACATCATGCCCTTGGTAGCAGCACTTGTTTTGAGAGCAGCACGACTAACAAAGCCAAGGTTCCTATGGATGTGTGCTTCATGTCTGAATTTCCTAAAGTGTAAAAGCTTTCCCCATGGTTGGGGCATTTATAAATGCCTGTATTTTCTGCTACTCTAATACTTTGTTTAGGGTAAACACCACCTGTCCTCTCTATGAGATCTCTACCCAAAATACCTATTTTCACGTAACTCATAAGAAATATATATATATATATATATAACCCTTCAGCTGGCTTGAAATTGCTCAACAGAATCAGTAAGGGGAAGATGTAAAACAAGTGAAGCACATCAACACAAGGTCCATTTCCTCAGGAAACCAGTGTCAAATTAAAAGGACAAAGCTGTCTGTGCAGACTACAGGTTGTCCATCTTCTAACTATTTTATGATCACCAAGTTCTACAAAATCCCTTTCAGAGATTCCTAAATATTCATTTTGCAGGTGGGAAACTAAGGAAAGGTATTCTCAAGGCTAGAGAATACTAGTCACTGTCAGGGATAAAAGTTGGAAATTACTATCTCCAAACCTGTTTTTCTGTACTGATCTGTTGACAACAACTAGGCTTAAAACTTTAAACACTTCAGGAGACCACTAAGGTCACTATTAATCAAAGTCTCATGGCATTTTCATATACCTGGAAGATTTTACCGTGATTTCCAGGAGGCCAGAGTTTTCTGTTAGATTTAACAAGGAACAAAGGCCAGACAATAACTGAGTTTACTGAAGAAAATATTTTGAAACTGTTTTCAAAAGGGATATTTCTACTCCTAGGAAGAAGGAGTAATCTAAGAAGGCACTACACTATGATAGTACATCAACTCTTTAAGCTTTCTCTGGACTCCAACAGCTCCCTTAAAAAAATTATTTTAAATCTCTTTTCTCACCCTTATTTGCCTGGAATTTTCACTTTCTCCATATTATTGATCTTTCTTACAATTTTACCTGGCTTTCAACATGCATTGTATCATACAGAAAGCAATACCCTTTAATATAAGTTATACTATTTAACATCGCTAAAATGTGTAGAAATCACACCACAAACAGAAATGCTGTACAAAGTAATACAGCAGCATGCCCTTGGTCTCAGCAAGATTTCCTTACACTTATCGTCAGCCATGTAGAGGAATACTCTCAGTAAGTAATATAGGACACACAAGGAATTCAGCTTGTGTTTGCAAATATCTATGCGTGTGCACAACACATACATTCAAGAAGTCATTCAGCAGGTCAGTTACATTGAAGATGATAGACGAAAGAAAAATTTGAATCTTTCATTAAAGATCTGATTTTTTTTTTTTTCCTGTATTGCAAAGCATTGCCTTTTGTAGTACACGTGATGCTGGTCAGAATTTTTCTTGGGTAAAGAAAACACCTTTTAAAACAGACGACTTAGAGCTTTAGAAGTTTGTTACAGTGCTCCCCACAGCTTTATGCATTTATTCATTCAAGTTCTGAAGGCCAAATGCCCTGTCACCTTCCAAAGGAATTCAATGGGAGCTTTGGTTTACACCACACAGACAATTGGTGCAACAACAGTGTGGCCTGCAGGCCTTCCCTGCGTCAATGAACAAAGCAGCCATCAAACCTGCTAATCGGGCAAGCCTCCAACAGGTTTCAAACTGTGCAGAATCCTAAAAGCAGCAGCAGTAGCTTTTGCATCATCAAATCTTTCCCATAGAACACATTGCAACTGGGAAGGAGCAGGATCCATGCAGATCAGCCACAGCTCTTTGGCCTTTTTAACCTGCTGTTTTGCTCAGTCTCAGCCACACAACAAAGCCCTTCCACACAAAACCCAGGATTCCCCTGGGACAGCCCCAAGCCACCAAGCTACTTCCTTCCCTTCACAGCAGGCAAAAAGGCAGATGTACCTACTGTAGCATTTCCAGCTAAGTTGCAAGGATAAGGGAAGGAGAGGAGAGAGGCTAGTCAGATGCGTTCCTAATGTGTGATGGGAAGAGATCTGGGAAGGAGCAAAGAGCAGTTTGACAGCACTGCGCACACAATTCAGTTTTCTATGTTCATGCCTCCAGCACTGCTAAAATCAGACAGGAAGGGAAAAACAACTCTCCCAACCTGTCACCTCAACAACCTCCAGCATCAGGTCAGAACATGCTCAGAGCCTTCCCTCCGTGCATGACATCTTGTTTCCTTATCATCACTTGTCTCCTGACCCGCACTACCGCAAGCTACCTCACCTTCCTTACCCTGTAGCATTGTCATTGTGCTGTGATACAGCGTACAACGTCCTTATGTGCAAACAAAAGACAATCTCTGCCAAGGAAGACTGCCAAATGATGGTTTCCATTAGGAAAGATCTGCATTACCACATGTTAATATTAGTACAGGTAAGATCAAAGGGAGGTCTTTTGAGTGTGGAACAGATGTAAAAGTGCTCTGTGGTGCTCACCTCCTTGGGTGAGTACATTGTACAGGTTCACACAAGCAGCTACAGAACATCTGCCTCCTCCTCCTCCTACAGCATGCTGTACCTGAGGATAGATTTTACCAATGATGGTGTCCACTAAGGAGTATGGGAGGGAGCCAGATGGACAGGAGGAAAAAAAAGGAAATAGGGATCTCCCACCTCTGGTATAATGCCTGCTTTCTACTTAACACTTGTGACCATGGCTGTATATACTTTGGATGACTTTCAAATGGGATGGCTCTGCCAGAGCCACTCTGCCAGGTTGTTTGCTGCATCATAGCTACAAATATGCATTACAGAGCCAGAAAGTAGAGGAGCAGTCATCCTGAGGAGATAATAACAAAAAGAGACACAACAAAAGGCAAAAGAGGATACCTTTGGTAAGTGTTAGGAAAAAAGGAGGAACGCTGAGTAGTGGGAGGACATACACAACATTGGTCTCTTCATGAAAAACATTAAGTGAAAGAGAGAATTCTGAATACAGCAGTAAGAGAAAAGACAGATATTGTCAAAAAATTGTTCTCTAGCTAACACAATGACACAGGAAGGATGCTCTGAGGCCTATGGCCCTGAGCTAAGAACCAAGACACCTTGGATCAGCTGCCAGCTCTGCCACTCTGCCAGATTTCTCTTCTGATCTCTTGGCTGAAACTGCCCTTCACCCTGCCTTGAGCTGTGCAGCTACAAAACATCCTCCCCTCCTCAGCCTCACACACACTTCTAGCAGAGAGAATTTTGAGGAAGAACTGGCTGTGGACACGTGAGGCCTGACTCACAAAGCACCACACCAGCACCACCAGAAGAGCAGCAGTGGGATGCTGCAGGCTGTGCCCACCCCTTGCCTTCGTCACTCACCCAGGGGCACGTCCACCAGGCCA